AAAATAACGAAAAATAACAAAAAACTACGACGTTTCGACCGCAACACAAGCGATCATCATCATGATCTTTGAACCTATCTACGTGACTTTACCGAAAGACACAAAGAATAGAATGCGCTTGCGCTCCTGGCAAAATCTGCTAAGAAGTTTCTGAAGCTAGTCCGACATGCTTTCCGGGTTTTGTACCGCATGCCGTTCGGCAAATGATGTCCGACGTGTCGCCCGCATTCGCTTGGGAGCTCCTTCAGGGAAGTAAACGTTCTCCAGGGCACCCAGAGCGATACCTCGGACATCGGCGCCTGAACAACATGCGGTGCGGCACGACTGTGTAGGCCTTCGTGGCGGCGATGGCAACAAACGGCGGGTCAAACCGTGGGTCGGCCCGTCCCACCGGCACGGAGCCGTGAGCCACGCAAATGCGTCCGTCCGTCCGTCCGCCCACGCTTACGGTATGTACGTGCGGCAGTGTCCAATTCCTGAGTGCCCTTTCCCTCGAGGCATTAAACGGTTGTCCCAACAAGACCCCGCGTGCGTCTACAGCACGGGGAGAGTTGTCACCCAGCACGCAGGCCGGGACGAGAGCTACGCGTGTGTCCGTGGAGCCAGGGGCGGAGCCAGGATTTTCAGCCCGGGGTGACAGTCAACAAATTTTAATTTCAAGAATGATTAGAGAGCCAGGCTGTTGAACTAGACGCCATCGGTTGGCGACACACTCTGACAATGCAGTTGCACGGAGTCCGCCAGACCGAGTGTCGTACATTTCTATGCAGAGTGTTTCAGATTTTCGATTTTTTATTTTTTTTCAGGGGTGACAATTGTCTACCCTGTCACCCCCCTGGCTCCGCCTCTGCGTGGAGCCCGTTTTTGGTCGGCCAAGACACACCGCTAATTAAATTGGTGAATATCCACGTCCGAAGCCAGACGCACAGGCAGTGGTGAACTGGCGACTGCTATTCATTTAGAGAAATCGTAAAAAAGAGAGAACATTTTCAAGGAGGCACACTGCTTTATATTTTACTTTCATCCACTTATAGACACACAACGTGTTTATGAATATTTTAGATAATGACAGATACCATACACGTCTGTTGTGTAGAAAAGATGTAGGTATACAGCGGGGGGGGAAATAACATGTGTCTATTTGAACAAATTCTAGAAAAAAAACCCACACAGTGAAAATAGTGCTTTTGTTCATCCAGTGCTGTGTGATGGCCTCCCACCCCCCCATGGCGTCACAAGTCGTGGGGGGGCGGGGGTTATTTGACCATACTTCACCACGCAAGCTAGCCCAGGATATGCCTCCTATCTGACGCGGAATCGTGCGCTGGGTTCCTCTTTAAACCGAGTGTCCTCCTCTTGTCACAGGGAAACGCTCAAGTGCAAAGGAATTTCCCCCCCCTCCCCCCCCCCCCAGTCGCCGGTGCTAATAATAACAGCACCTCACGCCAAGACGCATCGGCCGCCTCGTACGATCGACCGACGCACGTCACTGCGCGTGTCTTTCCGACGCGTGCGGTTCACGCGTCGATAATTTTAGCGAAAGAAAGGAAGGGGAGGGAAGTAACGCGCGCAATTTTAGGCCTTTAAGGTGCGCTTCATGACACTTTAAACAAATATTTGCCGACGTGACGCGGGGGGCGGGGGGCGGGGGGGTTTCAGGCGGATGATGGCCTGATGGCACGCTCGCGTGTCCCTGGGCAAACACGGTACGGACTCGTGCCAACTTTGCTAAGCAGTAGGAGGCCCATTCACGAAACTCCATCTTTGATGGGGGGGGGGGGGGAGGGTGGCGACATGTACAGGTGACCGAATCCAGACGATGGTCAATACCCACTGGCACATGAGATCCTTTAACAGCCACCGGAGCGCAACGGTCCCTCGATTGTTGTTGAATAAATAAGTCGACGGAAAGCATATTGACAATCGGGGAGGGCGGGGATGGGTGGGGGCGGGATGAGCCGTGGCCGAATTCCAAACGGTTGCACAGCGCTTTTGATCTATGTGTCCCACACCACCCCACACAAGCCCCCACCGCCGGCCATCCACTCCAGCTAATTCTAATGAATTCTTTAAATGTCTTCAGACACCCGAGAAGCCGCAAAGATGCTTTTCAAAGCCAGAGAGACATTAGTCGAGGTCTCATTAATTAAACATCGGAGCGGGGTGGGGCTATGGCGTACTTGGGGGCAACGCTCCAGAAACGCTTCCCATCTTCTCTTTGCTTGGAAAATCTCTCATTCCAAGTCTCCAATCCTCCTGCAATCCTTTCTCCGGGCTGCCTTCCTTTCTCAAACCACTTTCATTGTCAGCAACCCTGCAACAACTCCTACGTGCAAATTTCCTGAGCTTTTTAATTGCTTCTTCTTTGGTTTTGTTTTGGCACGAGCTCCACGGTGCATCCCCTATGATCGTGCGGTTGTTCCTCTACGAACACCGAGAAGGATGATGATGATGCAGGAGGGAATCTGACGGCAAAGTGAAATTAATCAAACAAATCTTCAGTTTCCCTTTTTTCTTCCTTCGTATGGCCGATGTAGATTCGCAGATACACGACTGTTACACACGCCTATTAAGGTCGCGTCGTTGGGGAGCAACGCCTGGACTGGTTTAGGATCAGAACGCGCGCTGCCAGGCTATCCGTTGGGTCACGTGGCCACTGCTTCTCCTTCTTCTCCTCGTACGGATGATGATGATGTAGACGGAGAGACTACAATCTCACATCCAGGTGGTCAAGCCCAGAAACAACCGCGTCAGGAGCAGCGGAGTGTATCGCCGTGATGTCTCCTTCGTATTTGCGGATCGGGGCCTTGTGTCTCTACAACGTCGTAGGGTCCCGTTCTAGATGACCACGGTCACACACTGCTGAAGAGTTTTTTTTTTATTTTTATTTGCATTTCTGGTGTTGGGCAATGAAATATCCGTGGTGAAAACCCGTCAGGCCAAGGTGCCTCTCGTCCCGATGCTGCCAGATGAGCCGCTGTCAATGACCGAGGATTGTTAAGGAGGTTCGTGATAAATGAAAGCCAGCAAAGAGATTTGCAACTTGTTTCTTCTTAGCGTGTTTAGCATCAAAACATTTTTTTTCACAATTTTTTTATTTTACCAGGTAAGGCCCACCAAGCCATCTAACTCTTTTTTCAGAAGCGAACTGGCTATCACAAACGATGGCTCAGCGAAGTGACTTATCATCATGTGGAAATTTTTAGCAACCAAATATTCTAATCGCATGTTGCTTCTATGTGTGGAGGGGGGAAAAACGGAGGACCGGGAGAAAAATTCCACACGACCGTCGGGAGAACATGTAAACTTCAAATATACATCAGCAGGCGTGAAGGTCAGGATCGAATCCACGACCTCCTGTATACCAGGCGAAGTAGTAAACATCTCGCCACCATGGCGCCCTTGGGAAAAATACACGGACTCCAATGTAAACAGACTTCATTCATTACTGTTCACCATCTATTGTGGCACACACACATAAGGTAATAAAATAAGCCATTTAAACCAGAAGCTTCATCATCATCACCAGCCCTGATCAATCCACTGCTGTATAAAGGCCTCCCCTCTAATTTGCCACCAGAATTCACGGTCCCTCTGTGCAACAATTCGCCCATCGCATCACCAATCCGCCTATCGCTCCAACTACCCGGCATCCGTGCTTCTTAGACGCGGTTCCTCATTCGCCTCCCACGTCACTCTCGACCACTGGCAACACCACGGACGCGTCCTGCCCAAGCCCCTCTTCCTGTTTTTTAGCAACAGTTGGCATTACGTCTTTTAAACCTGCACGTGTTTGCCAATCCAAGTGTTACCCCTTCCTGCCTCTCGGTGTAATCCCGAGCCATGCATCTGCCCGCGCGGCCACGTTTCCCAAAAGGGAGCCTTGCTTTAAAGCACAATTCTTCGTGCTCGTGGAAACGTACATTTCCTTTTAAGAAATTGGGTTCAGAGGTCGAGAGCCCCATGTGGGTCAGAACCACGCTTGGATTGTGTTTATTTTAGTAAACGATCCCCAGCTGCCAATCTTGATGCCGCTCATTGCCTTTTCTCAACTAGCTTCTGTAGCCAGGATCCCTCTCCCCCCTGGCTGAGTGTAAGCGGAATATTATGAAAGCGCTAATACAAACGTAACTCTGCTCCGCGTTTAAATACGAATCCGTTCTGGTCCCCGAGCCTGGTGGCTTTCCAGACCAATGTTTCCAAGCAGCGCTTCTTTAAGGGAGCCAACGATGGACCGGTTTTACCCGTCTGGCTCTCATCGGCACAGTCAGACTTTTTAATCCAATGCCGTTTTATAACTAGACGGCATTGGCAAGAGCGCTCCACGCAAAATATGGGAACCCCAGTTGACGTATTAAAGCTGCACCGTACACATGCTCATTTAATGCGTTACTGTGGAGCATCATGGGTTAAAGCAAACGTAATAAGAAATCCGTTGAGTGTCTCCTTGTGTCAAGAGAGAGACAAAAACTCCTTGGACTCGGAGTAGAGGAGGCAGACATAACTTAGGAGGGAGGACAACAGCAGTGGAGGACTTTGGGGAACAGGGGGGGGAGGGGGGCACCTGGGCATTAGGAGGGAGCTTGGGGAAAGTTGCGCCCACTGTGGACAAGGCGGAGGCTGCCTCGGAAGATAGGAAACAATCGGGTTTACTGTGGGTCAGGGTCATAAATGAGGTCACTGGAGTTCTCTATGGGTCGTCATAGGAGTGAGGTTACTGGAATTCACTGTGGGTTAGGGGTGAGGTCACTGATGTTCACTATAGATCAGGGGTGAGGTCACTGGGGTTTACTGTGGGTCAGGGTCAAGGGTGAGGTCGCTGAGGTTCACTGTGGGTCAGGGTCAAGGGTGAGGTCGCTGGGATTCACCGTGGGTCAGGGTCAAGGGTGAGGTCGCTGGGGTTCACCGTGGCTCAGGGTCAACGGTGAGGTCGCAGGGGTTCACCGTGGGTCAGAGTCAAGGGTGGGGTCGCTGGGGTTCACCGTGGCTCAGGGCCTCACCTGTCCCGTGTGCGAGACGTGGAAGCGGAGGTTGCGTGGCAGCGTGGCCTCGGCGCGCGGCGCCGCTCCGGGTAGAGGCCCCGGCCAGGGCTGGTCCTGCACGATGTACGTGCACGTGTCCTGCAGCTCCTGCTCGGAGCGCCCGGCGGCGGCGCCGTCCTCCTCCTCCTCTTCCTCTCCCTCCAGGGGCTCGTCCAGCGCGGCCAGACGGGGCGGCTCCCGCTCACCCATCACCATGCGCCCTCACCACTGCAGCGGCCGCAGAGATGCGGAGACAAAGAGAGACAGAGAGAGAGAGAGCGCTCGTTAGCGACCCGAGCGTCACGCGGAGAGTACGTGCGAGTGGCGTGGCTGTCGAGTGTGCAGGCGGTGCAACTGCGCCCACGATCGTGGATGGACTGGGGGGGAGGGGTATAGATGCTGGACTATGAAGAGGGGGGGGGGACATTGGACAGGGAGCCACGTTTTCATTCCTCGCCCATGCCAACCACGCCGAGTCACGACATCACGTGCGGACACTCACCCATCGCTCACTCCCTCCTGTTTCATCCGAATCCCTATCATTTCATCACTATCATCATCATCATATTTACAATCACTATCATCAAAATTCGTATCACCATCATCTCCACTGTCGGCTATCATAACAAATTCAATAATCATCGTCGTCATTGTCATCATCCAGATATCGCCCTGTGGTGGCCTGGTCCAGAAGGATTCCCTCCAGGTGAACACTGCACAGGGACCCTCCTGCTTAGATGCACCCAGCAGCAGTATTGGCAGGGTTACACAGAGTAGGGGTACATCGGAGTGCGCTGTAAATCACACGGCCATTCTATCCATGCCTAGGCCAGCAACAGCCACGATCCATCATGCTACAACAACAAAATAAAGATATTGACATAAATTCCACTGCATTGCGAACGCGGGTTTGGGGCACTATGTTTATCATACAGGGTGCCCGAACGTACCACAATGGGGATTAGTTATGATATCATGAAACATTACCGTATCACCTGGATTATAAGATTATAAGATGACGATGCGCCCCAAACTTTTGCACGGTATCAATGAAGTTAGACAAATTCTGGTCATGTGCACAGGCACGCACACAGCTGCCAGATTACCAGACTCATCCCTCCCCAAGTTTTACTTTGAAACTCCAGGCTAAGAAAAGTGTGTGCCTTATACACCGGGAGAAGAGGAAGACAACCATCTTCAAATAAATTACACAGCACAGACATTTGGTAAAAAAAACAAATCTTCGCTTGCATTGCAGGCTACCTTCCAATTACAAACACAACCAGTTTATAATCTTGAAATACTGTTTATTATATTTTTTGTAAACGTGTATTTTCTGGGATCCCTGCAATAAATGTATTTATATCTTTGCACAGTGCTCCTCTTTTTTTCTTTGACACAGCCCCGTGCCACGGCCCATTGACGTACATTCCACATTCCTCTGGACGGGGCCGAGTGATTTTAAAAGGCAAGCCCACCACTGGCGACTCACCACAACGTGGTCCCTCACTTTGTCACCCCCCCCCCCCCCCCCCCGTTCTTTGAATTGGAACTCACGGAGTTCACACTCCCGTGATTTCGCAATCTCCGTGAATCCACGTGGCCCAGGATGTCTCGTAAATGCACGTTAGGTTTCGTAAATTGAAATGAATTACTGAGGTTTTCAATGATAATAATGATACTGAATTAATGGTCCTTTGGTCAACCCACGACTGGTTGAAGACCTCTTCCCGATGCAATGCCGATCGTGGGGGTTGTTTGACCATACTTCACCGTGCTGGTCAGTGTGTGCGCGGTGAAGAGGGTTGCACAGAGCCGTTTCAGTCATCGTTCGACACAGATGTTAGCCGTGACTGGGACTCAAACTCAGGTCGCCGGGTTCACAGTACACAATGCACCCAACACCCGGTGCTTGTACAATAAATTGCACAAATGACGCTGCAATATTACATCCACGTTAAACTGCTAATATTTAATATTTGGTCAAAGTTTAGTAAATATTTTTCCAAAAAATCATAGCTTGTACGTTTTGTTGATTTCCTATCTACTAATATTGCACAATTTGACTTATTTGAGGCTGAGCCAACCCAGGAGAAGTCCAAACCAACCTCAAAAACTATTTTTAAAATATATAGACACACACCTGTGTATTAACAGAACATCTGAAACTTGTAACCAGTATAAATACGAGCAGAAATGTATCATCGCGCACAGTTCTGTTTCGTAGAGTTGCTTTGATATTCTGGACGATGGCCAGCGGGTCAAGACGAACGATGGAGCAGCAGCCAAGGGTGAGAATGCACGCGAGGGGCTCGCCCACCGCGGAGATGGAGCGACGAACCGAGCTCGTGCAGAGTTTTTGTTTTTTACATCGCAGCAGGGACAGAGATGGCGACAGCTTCGGGAGAACTTCATCAAAGAAGTGAATAGAACATGGATGCTGCTGCTGCTGACGACGACGACGACGATATACAGTCGCAATCTTAACGTCAAATGTGGTTTCGGATAAGAACGTTGTGCCCATTGTCTTCCGGAGAATGGTCTCGTCGTGGCATTTATTCCGAATAGCGAGGAAGGTTTTGACTTCTCCCGAGTGTCGTCAGTGAGATGCGTGTCCTGATCAAATCAATACCACCGGGCGACCGAGCGGTCAGGGCATTAGCAGCCACCCGTAAAACAAAAAAAAATCATTTCAATTGAATGTCATCCGAAGAGGTTGGAGCGAACGCGAGTTATCACAAAGTGGGACGCGTGGACACGCTTGCTTGCTGCTGCTGCTGCGGCTGCTGCATTGAGTGTGGAGCCACCACCGCGCGGTGCCTCCAGTGAGAGTGGAGCGCCAGGTGCGTCGCCCGTCAGGGGAAATAAAGTCTCGAGGATTATCGTCGAGGTGGCACTCACTCACACGCACGCGCAAGCACGCGCGCAAACAAAGACAAAGTTTCCCCCGTATAGCCTTGAGCAGGCTGTTGGGGCAAGTGCTATTAGCGAGCACACTATGACGGCCGAAACGGTACAGGAGGAGGAGGAGGGTAGCCGGCAACACGCCCGGCCGCCTTTGTCTCCCCAGTGGCGATGCCCAGGACCGGTTCAGATAATCGTCACTGGTGTTGGTGCCGTAGGCGGGAATCAAATCCAGGGTCGCCGGGTTCGTAGCGCAGCGCGCTAACCACTACACTACGGCTCCCACACACGCACACATACACACACACACGGAGCGTGATGAATGGCAAGCGCGAGGCGCAAAGCCACGACGCAGAGCACTGTCTCTCTCTCTCTCTGTCCCGCGAGGCCCAGCGCCTCCAATTCCTTCCTCCTCCAAGTCGTACGCCGACACAGTACGCGTGCAGACGGTCACACAACACCGCGTTTGTGTTGCCAAGAGAGCAATACCAGCAGCGGTTCCAGAGCTGTGGTTCGTGGAACCGTTGCAGAGTGCATTTATTCAGTCATTCACGAAACACCAGAGTTCCTGATGGAAGAGTTCGGTTTCCTTTTTTTTTAGGCTCGAGGGTGGTCCCGCGGATCCATGCAGGATGGTGCACGACACGCTGAATACATTGAACACCGCCCTTGCAAGGGAGGCCAGGTGTGCTTCTATCCCATGTGTGCTTGTAAAATAAGGTGCTCATTTCCCTCAACATAAGCAGCAGAATACAGGCGGGTGCTGCTCACATCAGCAATCCGCTCATGCCAGGTGTGCTTAAATCCAGCTTCTGCCGGATTTGGTTGGCGGTCGCACATGGTTGCCATACGAGCAGAATGATACTTGCCATAGAAACGTGGAATTTCCACCACCGGCACAGAGGGGCCACTCACAAAAGGTGGGAACGGATCCCACGCTCGCTGTGGAGCGGCGGCACTGTGCCGTTTGTACATAATCCCTCGCTTTCGCTCAAATCGCCCCGTCGCCAATTGTGGAATGAGACGAGGGATTGTGTCAATCGGAACGCCTCGCGGCAAGCAAGCGATGTCACCTTCCGGGTTTGCGGTAGAACAGACCCGGAAGGTGACATCGCAGATCCACTTCTGAAGTCACTTCAATAGATGCCTTCATGGAAACTATGGACATGCATTTGAATGCCCTGCGAAAGGAAATTCATGACAATCTCCATAAAGCCGATTCTTTGTTTTTATCACAGCTGGAAATTAGCCAATTTAAGTACAAACAAATTTATATTTAATGGTATGGGATATTTTTTTTGTGCAGTCATTGGTGACCGGGCTGAGTTGTTGGAACGTTCTGGTCCATCGTGCCCCGACTGGACATCTGTGAAAAAAAGAGCTTCACAGCTCATCGGATTTCTCTCCAGCATAAATAAATATCCTAATTCTCATCATCTCGCCGCACTTCAGAACACACTTCGATCACAGGAGGCTGAAACCCGGATTTGAACCCAGGCAGGTACTGTCGGCTCGATGCCCTGACCCCCCCCTCCTCAGCCACCCGGCCACCCGTGACACTTTGACATTCACGAGAGGCGCCGTGTCTCTATTCACTAGCTGGCTCTGCTCCGTGTATTTTTGCGCGAGGTGTAACTCCACCGCGCCCTTGCCCACGCGCCCACGCCGCTCAAGGGCCCGGCGTCCAGCGCGATGACATCACCGCGCGCCGACGCCGCGGGCGCTCTTTCAGAGACGACAGCGGCATGCGGAACGCGTTTAAATACACAAGTTGGGTTTGGAGATATATTTGGGTTAAAGTTTGGGGGTCAAATGTTGTTCGTTCGGGAAAATTTTCAATTTTGCAGGCATAAACTAAAACTGTTAAACTATTTTTATACCAGGTAAGACCAACTGAGCTATGTAGCTCTTTTTCAGAAGGGACCTGGCCACAAATGATAGCTCAACGAAGTGGCTTATCGCGTGTAAATGTATAGCGGCCGAATAGTCTAAACGCATGTAGATATTTTGCTTTCGCACGACCAACCGTGTGTGAGATACAGAGCCTGGCAGACGCACAATTGCGCATCACATACATCGATCCACTCCCATTCAGTGAGACACTGTTTAACCAGGCGACAGACCATTTCGGGCCGACGTGGTGGTGAGATGTTAACTCCCTCACCTGGTATGCAGGAGATAGTGGGGTTCGATCCTGACCCTAACACCTGTAAATTTGGAGTTTGCATGTTCTCGCTTTCGTGGTGTGGATTTATTTCTGGGTCCTCCGGTTTTTCCCCGTCCGCATTTAAAAACATGTGTTTAGATTATTTGGCCGCTATAAA